TGTCTGAACCGCCCTGTCGGTGGCCCTTTGCAGAGGCAGCCCCATCCCGCTCAGTCTATTTTTCACTTGAGATTTTGTGAAGTTCTATTTGGTTCTTTTTTCATATCTTCCATTTTTCTCATCATGTTCATATTTTCTTCTAAAAAAGGCTTCGCCCCGGCTGGTGGGGGTCTGTGGATGGAGCCCCGGCCTGCACACCAAAGGGTCGCTGGTTCGATTCCCAGGCAGGGCCCGGGCCCGGGTTGCAGACCAGGCCTCCGATAGGTGGTGCGCGAGAGGCAACCGCACACGGATGTTTCTCTCCCTCTTTCTCCTTCCCTTCCCCTCTCTCTAAAAATAAATAATAAATAAAATTTTAAAAAAAGGTTTGAAGGGAACCCACGCGGGTCCTTATCTGGTGATCCCACTGTTGCTGTCACCGGGGGGCCTAGTTCTCCTGACAGACTTTTTTCTAGGTCATACCTTCCTGCTTCTTGGCGTAGTGGGGATTTTTCCGGGGATGCTGCAGATTGAGTTTTTACCATTTTCATTCTCTCGATGTTTTTTGTCCTTTTACTCGTTCTCCAGAGCATTTCAGTTTAGTCACATGTCCTGCACTGTGATGTTCTGGGGGCTTGTTTCTGAGCTTTGTTACAACAGATCAAGACACGTTTTCTGTGGACACAGCGGAGCCCTGCTGACGACGCGTGGCCTGCGGCATCTCTCCCGGACGCACGCGCGGTCTGCGAGGACGCGCCCTCTGGCTGGCTAGGACTCAGGTCTTCCCCAGCCCCGAGACCCTGCTTGCTCCTGTCTGCTGTTTACACATGCAATTCGCTTTTTACTGAACAAAAGCTAAGCTTTTCTGCCTGCTTCTGGAGCTTTCGCTCTGAACAGCTTCCTCTTTACGGGAAGCCCGCGTGCGACTTCGTCTGCGTGAGCAGTCCCGAGCCCTGACCTCTGTGCCCATGATGTGACAAGCCTGGCACACTCGGCGCGGGCGCCCCTGCCCCGCCGCTGGGGCCCCCGTGGGCATCCCTGTGCCGCCTGCTCTCAGGACCCCGAGGTCCAGGTCGCCACATTTCTGAAAAGGTTGACTCAGCTTCTCCGTTTCTAGCTTCTGTGTTGCTCCGTCAGGGGTGGGAGGGCGCCAATTCCCTTTCGGTGAACCCTTAGGTTGTTTCCAGCCTTGCCTGTGCCGAGAAGGCCGGGGCCCACATTCCCGGGTGTGCAGCTGAGTGTGTTTACAGCGCATCGCTCCTCAGTGGGACTTCCTGCACTGTCCCTGGGTGAAAGGGCCAGGGACCGCAAACTCTTGCTCTTTGCTTCCGAACCGCTTTCCCGCAAGGCTGTCCCGCGTCCAGTCGGCCCGCTGCGCTCCCTGCCAGCGGCCTGGCTGAGCTCGCCGTCACAGCCCCTGGGCGCTTCTCTCCCGGTCCTGTCTCCTGTGTGTCTTCATGGGTCTGGCCCCCGTGCCTCCCTCTCTCCTGGCCAGCCCTGCCATTTTCCCTGCCCTTGCCCATTCCCAGACTCCTTCCCCAGCTTGGCCGGTGGCCTCTGGGCACGGCTGCCGCCTTGTGGGCAGGAGGCTCCGATGCCCCCAGGCACCGCGCTGCAGGGGCTGCTGGTCTCCCTGGGTGCCAGGTCCGCTCAGAAGGCCGGGAGAGCCTGGGCCTCCAGCAGATGCCAGAAGTTTCCTCTTGAGCTGAAACAAGGGCGGCGGCAGCTCTGAGCGGGGACTAGGTGCTGGAAGTCCTGGCCAGGGCCAGGTGCCGGCGAGCGCAGGACCCGCAGGGGGCACCCTGTTTCTGGGGCCTCGGGAGCTGTCAGGAGGAGCCAGTGGCCAGGAAGAACGGTGTGCGGGGCTCCGAGGGGAGGAAGAGCCAGAACCCCAGGGACACCAAGGGGCTCGTGTAGCTGAGGCGAGGGGGTGGGGGCCCAGGGCGTGTCGGAAGGGGGCAAGGGGGTCAGCTCACATTGGAAAAGGCCCCCAGCGGCTGCCCAGTTCCGGGTGACACCGGCCCCTTTCTTGACCCAAGGAAACACCACGGAGGCTGCCCTGGCCTCTGGCTTTCCCTCGGCTTCCGCAGTTGAGGGAGAGTGTTGCGAAACACTGTTCACAGGGTATTCTACAAAAGGGCCACTTTGTCAATGTACGACCAGGATGCTTGCGCAAGAATTATTCTCCAGGCGCCCGTCCTCCGTGGGGACCCTGTCGGGCAACGTCTTATGATCACCGCGGGATCCACTGTGACCCCGTGACAATCATAGGACCACGGACCTCACCCTCATCCCGCAGCCCACAGCCACGGGAACCCACGGGGCGTACCGCTTCTCCTTCTGGTCGCCGCCCCGGGCCCGAGCTCCAATCGCGAACTGCCACTTGCTCGGCCTCTGCTGAGATCAGCGCTCCTGTCAGTGACGCCGACCCTGGAGGACTGGTGATAGCGGGCCGTGGACTCGGGCTGCCCGAGGGGAGGGCGTGGCCTGCAAGGTGTCCGGAGGGGGCGGGGAGGCGCGGCTGCAGGGGGCGCCGACCCCTCGGCCGAGGTGTGTGCCCTGCAGGGATGCTGAGGCATGGAACACGACTGCCCCCCAGAGTCCTGGTGTGGGGGGGGGCTTTTCCCGTGGTGGGGAGATTGCGGTGGTGGTGTGGGGGTGGGGAGCGCTGGAGCCCCCTAAGCTTCGGGCTCTGGAAGGACGTCTGAGTGAGCGACTGCACCCCGGTCTGCGAGGAGGAGCCGGTCTGGGCGCCGTGGAGCCCTGGGTGCCCGCCCCCGTCCTGCTCCCAGGAGCAGGCTCAGGTTAGAGCAGGCACCTGCCCGCTGGCCGTCCTCTGACCCCTGTCCCCCGGGACCCCCACTCCCCTCCCTGCTGTCCCCTGGCCTCTCTGTCCACCTCTACCCCACGTCACGAGACCTGGAGACCGAGCCTGGAAGGCGCGGCAGCCCTGGGCATCACCGGAGTTGGCCTGTCCCCGTGTCCTGCCGGGCCTCCCCTTTGCTTCTCCTCTGTCCGCCGGGGCGGCTCCTCATCCAGCTCCGGCCGCTCTGTTCACCTTCCGCCCCCGCCTGACAGCTGCACAGGAGTTCCCATGTACGGTTCCCGGGACGGGGGGGACAGCGGCCAGCGGGGGCCCCACCTCTGAGCACGCGAAGCCCTGCCCCCCAGCCAAGTGCCCAGGCTCCCCTCCCCGGGGTCCCCAGAGATGAAATTCAAGAGCGACTCTGAGGATCTTGGTCCCCGGAGGGCCCCAGCTCAGGCTGGCCCGGGAGTCCGGCCATCGGCTGCAGGAGGGGCGGCCCCTGGGTCTGGTGAGGGCCTGATAAGGACCCTCCCTGGGCCCGTGAAGCAGGCCACCCGCATCCAGGGCCTGATTAGACCGAAGCCACCACACGTCATCAGCTCTGCGACCTCTCCGGCAAAGGAAGCGCGTGAGCCGGGGACAGGCGGCTCACGTGGGACGTGGCAGCCGAACGGCGGGGGGCACAGCCCCGTGACTCCCTGTCGGTCAGAGGGCCAGGGCTGGTGGTGGGGCTGCCTCTCCGGCACCCCGCCTGCCTCTCAGGTGTGTGGGGGCCTCGCGCCCCAGGCCTGCCCGCACGAGCCCAGCCCTGGGGGCGGCCCTGGCGCGGGGAAGGCTGGGCGGCGGGAGAGCCCCTTCAAGACGGGTTGGGCCCTGGGCAGGGGTCGCCCAGGGGAGGCTCTGGGCCAAGCTGTGTCTCTGTCTTTCTCTTCTTTTTTTAATTGTTGTTCAAGGACAGTGGTCTCTGCCTTCACCCACCACTGCCTGCCAACCCCCCCCCCCCCCCCCAGTGCTCAGTCCCACCTGCTGTGGCTTCGTCCATGGCCCTTTGTACTTGCGTCTCGGCGACCCTCGCCCCCGTCCCCGGTGCCCGCCTCCCTCTCCCCTCCCCTCCGCTCACTGTCAGTGCGTCCTTTATCTCCGTGTCCCTGGTTCTGTTGTGCTAGTTTTGTTGGCTGGGCTCCGCGATTAGGTGAGATCAGATGGCATCTGTCCCTGTGTCTCTCGCCGTCTGCCTCGTCCCCCTGGGCGCAATGCCCTCCACACCCGTCCACCCTGTCGCCAAGGGTGGGAGCTCCTTCTTTCTCTCTGCCGCGTAGTGTTCCGTTGCGCCGATGTGCCGCGGTGTCTTGATCCGCTCACCTGCCGATGGGCACTCGGGCTGTTTCCAGCGCTTGCCTGTTGGGCATGGGGCGGCCACTGGGGCACACAGATTCTTCTGAACTGCTGTTCGACACGGTGGGGCGCTTCGCGAACTTGCGAGTCCCCCCGGCACGGGGACCGTGCTCACCGTCCCCTTATCGTTCCAGCTTCGGTGCATGTGTTGCCGCAGCGAGCGCCGTGTCTGTCTCTGAGCCTCTGTATCCCCGGCTGTGAAAAGCGGGCAGGAATACCCAGCCCCGCCCCCTCCAGGGACAGATGGGACAGGGCATGCTCAGGGCGGGAGCCCCCTGGGCGCTCAAGGGTGACACCGTGCCCCTCCCGCCCACGGGGGCGCCAGCCTCCGGTGTTTGGGGAGCGCGCCCACGTGAGAGCTGAGCTCCAGAAGCTGCCGGTGAACAGGGTGCCGGTGGCCCAGGCACGGGTGGGCACCGGCAGCCCAGAGGACTCCAGCTAGTGGGGAAGCTGCAGATCAGCCCCCTGGGGCGCGAGGCGACAGGGGACGTGGAGAGGCCCTTTGGGGAGGTGCCCACTTGTACTGGGAACTCGAGGAGGCTGCAAGTGGACAGGAGAGGGGTTTGGGGAAGTTCTCAGTCTGGCTGGGGGCTCCCTCGCGAGGGGGTGGGAGCATGTGGGGGGAGGCTGAGCCAAGTCCCGCGGCCCCGCCCCCCGCCCCTGGCCCCCTGCCCCCCCCCCGCCCGCCCCCCGCCCCTGTGGCTCCCTCCCTTCCCCACCTCCAGCCATCCTCCTTCCAGCCTCTCAGCCTGGACGGCTGAAGAGGAGGAAATTGTTGGGGCAGATAATCGCACAACTCTTTCACTTTCTCTTTCAGCAATTGCACAAGGAAGGGAGGTCATGTCGTTGTTTCTGCTGGCAGCTGTCCCGAGACAGACGTCGGGGCATGAGGGTCCTTGAGGAAGAACATGGAGCCTCTACAAGCCTGGGGGCCGCCCCCCTGGAGCCTGGCGCCCATGGCTGACGCCCTGAGTCTCGTGAGTCCCCCCCGAGCCCCTCTCCTCTGTGCTACTCTCCCCAGAGCCCCAGTGCTGCCCTGAGCCCTGTTCCTGTTCCCCTGGTGCTCCTTGTCACACGGGACGTAGCCCGCCAGCAGCCCACGTCTCTTGGGCTACCCCAGCTTCCGAGGCTGAGTCCCCTCACCACCAGGACTGGGGGACTCAGGCAGGGAAGCAACACCCCCATCCTGGGAACTCTCCTCAGTGGACGCCCTCCCGCCGCCTTATTCAGGAGCTAGAGGCGATCCCTCCCATTCCTCCCTCTCCTGACCCCACGGCGGGGAGGGGGAAGCCGGCTGTGACCAGTGTCCAGGAAGGAGCGAGGGGTGGGGGGAGGTGTTGCCGGTTGCGGGGGTGGTGACTCATGGCAGCCCTGTCCCGGGAGATAAAATCGACCATTTCCACACGGACGGGGAGGATGCCGCCTGCGTTGGCACCTGGCTTATGTGGACATAAACTGGAGTGTTGTTTTTTTTTTAAAAAAAGGCTTGCTTGTTTACTCGTACACGGATGGGGAGGGCAGGAGAGACGGGAAAGAGGAGCGTGCGGGGCCTCACGCGCCCCCTGCTGGGGACCTGGCCCGCGGCCCAGGCATGTGCTCCTCCGACATTTGCACTAGTTCCCACACTGGGCTGGGCGGCCGGGGCCCCTCCCCCCTCCCGACCCCTTGTGTGGTTTGCACATCAGCCCAGTGGTCAGCGCTCAGGACGACCCCCCCATGGCCGACGCCCCACGCAGCCTATGCCCTGGCGCTGACCGGCGGCTCCCCGGGGCCCGCGGGCCCAGCACAGACAAGGCTGCAGGAGGCCTGGAGGTGCTTCAGGCCAGAGGAGTGCTGGCCGTGCCAGGGTGGGGGGCCCGCCTTGGTGAGCAGAGGGGCAGAGGCCAGAGTCGGGGCGGCCCCCCCCGCTCTCTGGGCCATCTGCGCTCGAGGTACAGCCCCCTGAGCCGGTGCTGGGCCCTCTGGGATCAGGTCATCCCTGCGGGCGCTGCCCACGCCGGTGGCTGGAGCCAGCTTCCCGGGCTCTGAGGCTGAGGCTCTGGGGGCCTGGGCGGTGCCCCGCTCCAGCGTCCCTTCCGTCTCCCACAGGCCTTGGTCCTCGTTTTCCTGGGATGCCCCCGCTGCGCCCTGGCGATGACCTTGTGCAAACAGGACGAGTACCCGGTGGGAGGCTCCTGTTGCCCCAAGTGCAGCCCAGGTGGGTGCAGCCCTTAGGTGGGGGCCGTTCCGGGGGCCTCCGCGTCCGGGGCGGGGGCCCGGGGGGCCATTCTGGCCCCACCGCTGGCCTGGAGCCCCTCCGTTCCCAGCACCCAGCATCATGGGAGGATGAAGCCCCAGGGAGGGGCAGGAGAGGGGGCGGGGGGCTCGAGCCCCAGGGCGCCCCCCTACCAGCGCTACCTTACTCCCCGAGGCCCTCTGCTCACTGCACAGGGGCGCGGGCTCGCGGGTAGCCGGCCCATTTATGGCCAGAAGCCTGGGGCTGAGAGCCGGCCCACATCCTTCCAGAAAGTGCTCACTTCTCCCAAATGGGCTCAGTGAGGCCTGGGGCACAGCCCAGCTGCCTTTGAGCCCTGTGGGAGGTGTCACACCTGCCCGCGCGCCCGAGGGCCGTCCCCGCGCTCACAGTGTGGGCTCTGGGCTGCAGGTTACCGGGTGAAGCAGGCCTGCGAGGAACACAGGGTCACCCTGTGCGTGCCCTGCACCGCGGGGACCTACACTGCCCACCTCAATGGCCTCCAGGAGTGTCTGCAGTGTCGCGTCTGTGACCGAGGTGAGGACGCGGGCCCAGCCACTGCCGAGCCGAGCCCCCGAACCCGAAGGTCCCAGCACACGCAGGGCTGCGGGGCCCGGGCTGCCCAGGGCCAGGCCCCCCACATCTGCCGGGAGCACTCCCTGCCGGGGATCCTTCGGGGACCCTCAGGCCCACGGCCACACCTGCCTCACGCCCGAGAGGGGCCTGCCATCCGACCACCTGGGCCCTCCAGAGCATCACAAGGGCCCCGCTGGGGGGCTGGTCTCAGGATCCCGAACCCCCGCGCCCACCCTGGGGACCCCCAGGCTTTGCCGGGGACCCTGGGCCTTCTTCCTGCCCAGGGCCGGTGGCCCACGGAGGGGGCTGGGCCCGGGGGAAGGTGGGGAGAAGGGAGGGGGCCATATGTTTTCGGGGCCCTGAGGTGGGGGGGCCGTGCCGCACCCCTGATGCCCCGAGAGCGCGCCTGTCCGGCTGGCTGAGCTAGGGGCAGAGGGCCCGCAGGCTGCCCCTCAGGAGGGTGCCCGCCCCCTCCGCGGGCTGAAGGGCTCCCTCGGTCCCCCCACTGGCGCCCCAGCAGCATGGGAGGCAGGTCGCGGGCCTGGCGGAGGGGCCGTCTCCCGGGGGGATGGCACGGGGCTGGGACTGGTGTCGGGGTGTGACCCATCACGGACCGGGTCTCACTTTCCACCCGGGGCCAGGCTGGGAGGTCCTCGTGCCTGAAAGACGCCCGGCCCCCCGTTGAGGAGCGCCTTCCGCCCTGGCCCCTGCCACCGGCCTTTCCCTGCCGCGGCCGGCCTGGGCCCTGGGACCCCTTTGGGGCCCTCCCCCGCCCCCCCCCCCGCGAAGGCGGCCCCTCCCAGCAGTACGTTTTGGCGGAGCCCGGGGTTTGCCTGGCCGGGTGCCGGCGGGGAGCCGAGCGCCGTGGGGAGCCGAGCGGGGCTGGGGTCCTGCCCGTGCGCCCTGGAGCCCCCAGCCGGCAGGCGCTCTCCAGCCCTCAGCGTGGTCCCCTCCCGCGACGGGCCCTCGCCACCGCCCACGGCAGGCCCTGCCGCGCTCTGAGCTCCTTCTCCGGGGTCCAGACATGGGCCAGGTGACCAGGAAGGAGTGCTCCAGAACGGCGGACACCGTGTGCGGCTGCGCCCACGGCCACTTCTGCGTGTCGCACGACGGGGATGAGTGTGCTGTGTGCAGTCCCCACAGTGTCTGCCGGCCAGGCCAGAGGGTGCGGGGCGCAGGTGAGTCCCTCCCCTCCGAAGGGACAGGCCCGGGCAAGGGGTCGGGGCCCCGAGGAGCCCTGCCGACAGGCTCGTTTCTCAGGCTCCGAGCAGCAGGACACGGTGTGTGAGGACTGCCCGCCCGGCACCTTCTCTCCCAACGGGACCCTGGCGGACTGTCTGCCTTGGACCCAGTAGGTGACTCCGGGGTGGCCTGGGAAGGGGCTTCCCGGTGCTCCCCCGGGAGGTCGGGGCGCTGGCGCAGCAGACACGGGGCCCTCCCTGGCCGCACCTGCTTCAGGCAGGGGCCTCCCGCCGCCTGTCGCGGTCCCTGAGAACCCACGTCGGGGTTTCCAAGCCCTGGCACCAGGGGTGCCGCTGCGCCCAGGGACCCGAAACCCTGGGGCGGGGGCTGTCCCCGGCTCAGGCGGAGGGGCGTCCCTGCCGTCCTGGGGAGGCGTGGGAGGGGCTGTCACTGGGAGGCACCCACGGCCCCTGGCAGCAGAGGCCCGGAATGCCGATTCCCGGGTCCCGCCTCTGACCTGGGGGCTCAGGGTCCCTGGAGGGAGGCTGCGGTGACCAGGGATCTGCCCGAAGGGAGGGGACCGGGGGTCCTCGGTCTCCACCCTGCCCTTCTCCTTCTCGTCCCACTCCCTCAGTCTGTCCCTTTGCCTGTGGCCCTGGCTTTGGCCGGGGTCCATCACTGACACCAGCTCTGTCCCCACCTCTGTCATCTCCGTCGCTGTCCCTCCCTCCTGTGGAGCAACCCTGTTCCCCCGCTCTCCCGCCACTTCTTCCCGCACCCCCAGCCCGGCTCCCCGTAGCTGCGGGACGTGGAGAGTCAGGCCGACCTGCGGCCGCCCCCCGAGCCGTTCCCTCACCGGCGCCCCGGCCGCGACCTTCGCCTCTGCCTCTGCCCGCCCGGCCGAGGGCAGGGCGCTCGCGGGTCCTGCCAGGCACAGGCCACCGAGGGGCCCGTGCCTGCTGCCCCACGGCCCCACCGTTCCATCCCCAAGGTGCAGCGGCCTGTTTGAGAAGCAGGCAAAGCCTGGGACCAACAGCAGAGATGTCACCTGCTCCTCCTGGCCACTTTGGCTGCTCATGTCGATCGCTGTCGTCTGTGTGCTAGTCATGTGCGTGGTCCTCATGTGGCGGTATGGTAAGCAACGGCCCTGGTCCTGTGGCGGCGCAGGGCCCCGAGCTCCCGTTGCGACTCTCCCTGGCTTTGTTTTTAAACTGGGGGAGGGTGGCAGGGCCAGTGGGACCTCCTCTCTCAGGAGCCCTGTCCCAGTCTGGTGCCTGGGCACCGCCTTGGGCCAGGAGCTCCGTCTGCCCTCAGGCGACAGAGGGGCACGGGATGGGCCGGGAGCCCCCAGGGCCCTTCGTTCCTCCCTCCGGTCCCCCCCGTCACCGCCGTCGCCCGCGCCCAGGGCCCCTGTCCCGCCTCGGAGCCGCAGCCGCAGCCGCAGCCGTGGGGGGAGCGGGCGCCAAGCAGCGACGGGCAGAGGGGGAGCGGGGCCGGCGCCGGGGCCGCGCTCCCGTCTCTGCTGTGTCCTGTGTCCTCGCCCGGGGGTGTCAGGGCTGCAGGCTCCGAGCAGCTGCGCAGGGGCCTTCCGTGGGGCGCCCGGCCCTCTGTGCTCAGCCCGCTCCCTGGCCGATGGTCACACTGGGCTGAGGTAGGGCCCGGGTTTGGCGGCTGGGACGTGGCCGGGCACCCTGTCTTTTCACCTGTCGTGGACCCCCAGGGGCAGGCGGGGCGAGGAGCCTCCTCCACACAGGTCTTTCCGGCCCGTGTGAGGCTCGGTGTTGCGGGGAAAGGGCAGGGTGGAAACCTGGACTCTAGGTGCCCCCAGCGTCGTGGCTCCTCCCTGACCCACGTGTCTCTGTTTGGCAGGAGGACCTGCCCAAACCAGATGGTTTCCTCAGGTAGAGTAGCTTGTGCCCATAAGCCCACACGGGTGGGGACGGTGCCGGCTGGGTGGGTCCCAGTTCCCTGCGGGGCCCAGCCCTCAGGGGGCAGGAGCTGACTCGGGAGGCGGGAACCCACGTCCTCCCCTCGGAGACCCCCGGGGCGGACCCTGAGCACCCAGGCCCCGGGGCGTGGGTGGGGGCGGGGTGGCCAGAGGGTCGTCATGCTGAATGTACCTTGCAGGACAAAGGACAGCAGGCAGAAGGGGACCCCCAAGCTCTCCTAACCTTGGTGGCCCCCCAGGTCCCGCCAGACGTCACCACGGTGGCCGTGGAGGAGACGGACACGTCCCCTAAGAGAGACCAAACAGCTGATAAATGACCTCAAGGTGCAGTCATCTCAGACATTCCCAAGGGCCTGCGGAGGCTGCTGGCTCTGGAGGACCAAGCGTGGGCTCCGTGGAGCCTCTGGGACCCACTCCCGGGAGGCTGAGCCTGCACCACGCAGAGGAAAACACCCCTCGGGGGCTTTTCGGGGACCGTGCTTGCTTTTCCATCAAACTCATGAGGGCCATGAGCCGTCCCCTCGCCGATGTACCGAGAGGACGCGCCCACAGTACATTCTTGGAGCCCCACACCCGACCCCAGCCCCGGGAGCCTCAGCTGCTCAGCTGCAGGGTAGCGCGTGGGCACCTGCTGGGGCGGGGCTGGGCACGTCGGCAGCGGCGCGGGGTGTTAAATGAATAGCACACCCGAACCTTATCTCCAAATTGTCCTTGTAAAATTTTCTAATTATGTAAAATTTTTCACTGGCCATTCAAAGTCATTTTGGTGAGACACTTTGAGAGTATGCTACCGTGTCCCTGGCCAGACTCGGAGAAACCCTGTGAGGGGCCGGCGCAGCGTGGGGCTGAGCGCGTTCGGAGGAGAGGCTTTCGGACTGTGAGCGTCTTTCCTTCCTCACCGCGCTCACCGCGGATTCTCCTGCCTGAACAACGACGTCGTCCTGGAAGGAGCCTTCCACGCTCACTCATTGTTCACTCACTCGTGTCCTCTTTTGAAAAGAAGATTTTATGTTTTTCTTCTTAGAGAGAGAAGGGAGGGAGAAAGAGAGGGAGAGGAACGTCACTGTGCGGTTGCCTCTCGCGCGCCCCCTGCTGGGGACTCGCCCACAACCCAGGCAGGTGCCCCACCGGAAGCGGACCCTGGGAACTCTGGTGTGAGGCTGGCGCTCAGTCCGCTGAGCCACGCCCGCCAGGGCTGCTCACTCGTGGTGATACCGTGATGGCTCATAGATTTCTGGGTGTCCCCTGGTCTGACCCAGGATTCCTGTTTATTCTGGTGCTAACATTGTCCCTGATCTTTCCAGTGGGAGTCCCTTTAATCTGGCTCCTGGATTTTTGCGACACATCCCTATGAATCCATGAGTCTTTGTGTAACCCCCCGGCCCGGGGCGTGCCTGGTTCTCCCTGGCCCCAGTGCCACGGCCACGGTCCCGGACTGATTTTGTGGATGGTGGTGTTTAGACACCAAGCTTCGTGGGCGGGGTGTGCTCATGGCCACACGGGTCTCATTTCTACCTTGGTGGTGTCTCACGGTTACAAAATGAATGTAACGTGCACACTTCTCTCTATAGAAATGACGCCCTCTTAGCTCCAGAGCAGAGTTAGCACCCGTCTTGGTGGCCTTGTCAACTGCACAGTGAGCCTGGCCGCGTTCGGGATCTGCGGGCCGGGACGAGGCAGGCTCCCGGGACAGGGCCGCGGAGCCGGCGCTGCGCCCCCTCTGGCAGGCACCGGGAAAGGCTCTCCCACACAGCAAGGAACTGCAGGCCTCTGCTCCAAGAGCCCTGAAAGAGCCAGGCTGCGGGGGCAGGGCCCGGGCGGATCCGCCTCACTCAGCGGTCAGCGCGGCCCGGAGGTGGACCCTCCCCCCCACCAGACCTAGCCCCTCCTAGAGGGAACGGGGACCCTTGTCCCCAAGGGGACGGTGCGCTGGTGAGCGGGCACTGAAACTCCATCGTGACTCTTGGCTGTCCAGCCCTGCACACTCCTAACCCTGGGAGAAGGTGCTGTGCGGGGCGAGGTGGGCCCCCGGGAACCCAGCGTGGGTGGGCTCGGAGGCAACCCGAGGGAGGGCGCTGGGCGGGTGGGACCTCCTGGGGGCAGCCGGGAGCCCACGTCCACTGCGTGGGGAGGGAGGTGCCGAGCTGCTGCCCGCGCCCTGGTCTCTCCTGGGCCGACCCTTCTCCAAGGAGCCCTGGGTGTTTCAGGGGCGGGTGGTTTAGGAGCCACGGTGTGCAGTCAGCTGTCCCCATTGTCACTCGGACGTCATTGCTTGGTGGGCGTCTCGGTACACAGGGTAGGGAACGTGGATCGAAAGGCATCTGAAGGCTGTCCTGTGCGACAAATCGAGGACAATTGTAGCTCCAAAATAAATGGCAGCCAGGGAAGTGAAATCCATTCAGAAGCAGTAGCAGCCTCGAGGCCGTCAGAGCGTAAGTGACCTGGGGAGAGGGGGACAGTCTCCCTTCCAGAGCGGCGAGTGGGGCGCTCCCCTCGGGCGTCCCTCCCCCACTCACCCCGCAGGCACGGCTGTCAGGAGCGAGGACCCCGGCTTGCTCTCCAGCATCGTGCTGAAGTGGACTCTTCTTAGGTGAAGCGTATGCCTGTGTCATTTATGCTCAGGGCACCTTCTTTAACCAAATCACACAGATTCCTGTGTAATGTAATTAGCACATATCTTTTTGGTGCATGGCCCACTGAAATGTTCACCAAGCATTTTATTTTATTATTATTATTATTTTTTAAAAGTCTTGTCTACTTCTTTTTTAAAAAAATATTTTATGTATTTATTTTTAGTCAGAGGGGAAGGGAGGGAGAAAGAGAGGGAGACAAACATCAGTGTGTGGTTTCCCCTTTCACGCCGCCCGCTGGGGCCCCGCCCCATACCCAGGCCTGTGCCCCGACAGGGAATCGAACCGGCGACCCCGTGGTTCGCGGGCCGGGGCCAATCCATTGAGCCGCACCACCCAGGGCCACCAAACATTTTAGCAGTGTGGGAAAATACTTATGATCAAAGATTTGGAACAAAAGCAAAATTCAAAGAGTTGGCTAGCTTTTGGCTTCAAAATATGAAAAACCATAAAATAAGGAGGGAGTGCGAGGACACATATTCTATGCTTAAGAGAATTATATTGTCTTTTTTCCTTAAAGATTTTTATTATTTTTAGAGGGAGGGAAAGGGAGAGAGAAAGAGAGGGAGAGAAACATCCACGTGCGGTTGCCTCTGGTGCAGCTCCTACTGGGGACCCGGCCCGCAACCCAGGCCTGTGCTGTGACGGGGAATCGAACCGGCGACCCTTCAGTTCTCAGGCCGACGCTCAATCCACTGAGCCACGCCAGCCAGGGCTGTTGTTTCTTAAATTTATTTAAAAATTATAGTTGACATGCAATGTTGTTAGTCTCAAGGGCACAGCATAGTGATTGGACATTCACGTAACTTGGAACGTGACCCCGCAATAAATAAGCCCACGCATCATTTGCCACTGCACGTGGTTATTGCGATGTCACTGTCTGAATTCCCTGTGCCGCACACGACGCCCCTGTGACTCACTTATTTCGTAAGTGGAAGTGTGTGCCCCTCAGTCCCCTCCCTCCGAGGCTCCCGGGGCGGGGAGCAGGGCGCGGGGCACCCAGGGCGTCCCAGGGGTGAGTCCTCAGGGTGCAGGGGTGAGGGGAGGGCTCGAGGCCTCTCGTCAGTTTGATGGGGAGGCGCGTGTGGTCCCCAAAGCCCCTTAGCGGGTGCCTCCCTGTGCGTGGTGCCGGCTAAGCCGCCCGGGAGTGGGTCCCAGCGGCTGCGCGGCCCCCACGCTGGGTCCTCGGGAGCCTGGCAGCTTCCAGCAGGTCCTGGGAGATGGCTCAGGCGGCTGCACCCTGAGGCCATTTATCAGCGGGTCTGGTCAGCGTCTCCCACGGACACTTCACTGTCCCCCATGGCCAGCCTGTTGACGACTGGCAGGAAGTGAGAGACCCACTCTCGTGACCCGTAGCAGGAACCGAGAACCTGCAGGCCCGCAGCTCCCCGCCTGCTGCTTTCCCTGAGGGCACAGTCCGCTCCGAGACCCTGTGGCCACCCCGCTCCCACCCTCTCGCCCAGCAGACACGCTCAGGGTCGTCCCCCCCGCCCCCCGCCTCTCCCCGCGCCCCCCTCTCCAAGGGGAGGAGTTGGGACCCCGCCGCCTACGTCAGCACTTGTCCACTGAGGGCCCAGCCAGCAGGGAACTGGGACCCACCCAGCCCGGCAGTGTCCCCGCCAGTGTGGGGACAAGCAACTCTTTCTGAAAAGCCATCTCTGTTGGTTGGGTTGTCCTGCCAAACAGAGACACGTGTGTCACGGAGAAGCCTTGCGGCTGGGGACACCTAGAGTCCGGGTTTTCACCCTGCCCTGTCCGGGACACCGAGCCTCTGAGAAGCAGTCGCGACCGATGTGGGTGAGGCCCGGGACAGGGGCCTGTGACCTTGCTCCCTGTTTTCTGGGACGTCTCTGCCACGCCCCTTGCCCTGGGGTGCCAGCTCCCCTGGGGTGGCAGCCCCAGGCCGTGCCGAGGCAGCGCCCTGTGTCACAGAGCCAGCCTTGCCCTGTGGGACCTGAGCCCCTGGGCCCTTCCCCTCCTGCGGGGAGCGTCCCCTGCGCGGTGGCTGCCTGGGTGGCCTCCCCTTCCTGTTTTCGCTCCAGGTGCCTTCCGACCCCCCCCCCCGGAGTGAATTTCCTGCTGTTGACGGAGGGGGCCGGGCGACGCGAGGGCGGGCCGCGCGGTCGCTGTCGGGGTGCCGCCTCGGTGCCCCCTAGGCCTCTTTGCCTGTGTCCGTTAGCGGTTAAACTGGGTGACACGCCAAGGTGTCACAGTGCCGGGGTGCGGAATTGACAAGCGAGGCCGCAGGGCGCCGGGACGCTGCACTCTCGCCTTCCGCTCCACGAAACCGGAGCGTGTGGGCTGAACGCGGGCGGGTCGCTGGCACGGAGCTGGTCGCGTCGCCCTATTAGGATGACAGGGAGAACGCCGCGTCCGCGGGGCTTGAACGAGACCTCGGGCAGAGGCCGCGTCCCTGGACTCGCGCCCGCCCGCGCCGCGCCCGCCCCACCCCCCCGCACTCGAGCCGGGGACACCGCCCCGCCCCGCCGCGCCCCACCTCCAGGGGCCGCCCCGCGAGCCCGAGCCCCAGGCCTGCGGGACCCGCCGCCAAGCCCCGCTCACTGCGGCGCCGTGGGCGGCGGCCTCCAGCATGCAAATGAGGCGACGGAGGGTGCCCTGTTTGCTCCGGGAGTCGGAGGCCGCCCGAGGGCGTGGCGGCGGCCGGGGCGCGTGGCCGCTTCTGGGCCGGGGGGGCCCCTGCCACGCCGCGGAGCGGAGTCGCCTCTCTCGTCGCTGCTGCTCCTTTCAGCCGTGGCCCCAAACCGCATCCCCTGCCCTGATGTGCGCCCCGGTGACGGACAGTGTGGTCCCAGTGGTGACGCTGGCCGGGAATCGGACAGGGTCTGTTGCGCCCCGCCCCCCCTCCTGCGGTCGCTGTGGACGAGACCCTGAACTTCCCAGGGTCCGCGCCGCAGGAGGAGCTGGGGCAGGAGCAGCTGGGACAGGACCGCAGGCTGAGCTGCCCCCTTGTCCACCCCAGGGCCCCTCCCAGGCG